TGCACCCCGATGTTTATAGCAGCAATGTCCACAATAGCCAAATGTGGAAAGAGCCAAGATGTCCATCGACCCATGAATGGATAAAGAAGATGTGGTATATATATACAATGGAGTATTATGCAGCCATCAAAGGGAACAAGATCCTGCCATTTGCAGCGACGTGGATGGAACTGGAGGGTGTTATGCTGAGTGAAATGAGTCAATCAGAGAAAGACATGTATCATATGACTTCACTGATATGAGGAATTCTTAATCTCAGGAAACAAACTGAGGGTTGCTGGAGTGGTGGGGGGTGGGAGGGATGGGGTGGCTGGGTGATAGACATTGGGGAGGGTATGTGCTATGGTGAGCGCTGTGAATTGTGCAAGACAAAAAAATCACAGATCTGTACCTCTGAAAAAAATAATGCAATATATGTTGAGAAAAAAAAAGAAGAAGATAGCAGGAGGGGAAGAATGAAGGGGGGTAAATCGGAGGGGGAGACGAACCATGAGAGATGACGGAGTCTGAAAAACAAACTGAGGGTTCTAGAGAGCAGGGGTGTGGGGGGATGGGTTATCAAAAAAAGAATGAAAAAAAAACAAAGAGAAGCTGGAGAGACACAGGGGCCGCGGTGGCACCTGTCTGGAGAGTCAGGCAGGTTCCCGAGTGGCATGTGGTTTCAGTGGAGCCCTGAAGGCTCAGAAGCAAAGCCGTGGGATAGGAAGGGGCTTCAGGGAAGAGCTGAGAGTGGCCCACGGAGCTCCAGCGGGGAGACTGGAGATAGATGCCGAGTGCAGGCAGGGGCCCAGGGCCCACAGGGCTCGCAGGCCCGATAATGGTGTTCTTGCAGCACTGCAGAGAAGCCCCAAGGGTTCTGGGTGTGACACACCTACATGTATGCCCCAGAGGTTCCTCTGGCTACTGTTGCAGGGGGAGGGATATGCAGCTGTCATAGTAGACGGGGAAGGCTTTACGGAGGAGACAAATGGGTGGGTTTGAGGCACTATTTTAGAGACAAAATGAACAGGCCTTGGTGACTGGTTACCTTTCACCTTTTTTTTTTTTAATATATTATTTATTTAAGAGAGAGGAGAGTCCCTGCTGAGCAGGAAGCCCCGATGCAGGGCTCGATCCCAGGACCCTGGGATCATGACCTGAGCCAAGGGCAGATGCTTAACCCACTGAGCCACCCAGGTGCCCACCTTTCATCTTACCAAGTGGGAAATGAATTGTCAGCCAGCAGTGTAAACAACGTGCACACAGCTTCTCAACAATGTTCAGAAGCTGTTCTGGAAGATATGAAGGGGTCTGAAATGTAATAAAAATAAATGCTAACATTCCCTGTGGGCCTCCTTGGTGCCCAACATGTAATAAGTTGGTTCGGTGTTTTTTATGTGTATTTCGTGTAATTCTTAGCAACTTTATGGAATTCACAGCCATCTCACAGATGAATGACTGAGGCTCTAAGAGGTAAAGGAACTGGTGCAAGATCGTACAGTTATTTCGGCTTTGGACTCCTTAACTTGAAAGGCTCCACCACCTGTTAACTCTGTAGGACCAAAGATGAATTTGCAGAAATAGAAATGCTTGTCACTAACACGAAAAGAGGAGGGGTCGGCTCTGAAAGCTGAGTCAGGAGGGACTCACCAGTTGTGGGGGTCCAGAAAGCACACACTTTGGGAGCCCGGTTTCCTTTAGGGTAAGAATCATTCCTGGAAGCAGAAAGAACATCAGCTGTCTCATCATGGTGCCGTGCAGCTGCCACCAGGAGGCCCACTCCGTACTTAACCAGCTACATCTGTACTTGTCCTCATTCCTGCTTCTGCACAGTGTTCACGGGCCCTGGCCAGAAGTGACTCTTGCTGGAGGTGTAGAGGACACCAGATATTCCTTAGATGCCTCCAGAATGGGCAGGGCTGAGACTGGGGTGAGGCAGTGAGGCACCCGGGATGCAAAATCATACCAAATGATGGGACGCCCTTAAATTCTGTCACCTAGGCCCCTCACTGCCTCGCACTGCAGGGTCTCAGCTCTGAGAACGGGAAGGGCTCAACGGTGCACTCCCTCCTATCCATGTCACAAAGCTTATGGACTTTGGCAGCGACACAATCTTGACCTTCCTCGTTGGTGGGCATGCATAATGGGGTAATCCGGAGAGTGGGTATGTGTGTGTGGCGGTGAGAGTCTCAGTGGTAAATGTGTGTCCTGTAACCAACACCCACTATATCCTCCAGTTTACTGGCACGTATCTCCAGTCCAGCAACTCAATAAACAGAGTAGATGACAATGCTTGGAAGCAGCATTCATGTCCAAATCTGTCCTTTTGAGTCACAGCTTCCCAAGCTGCGGCTGACAGGGCAAGCATAGAAAGAATTCCAGCTCCCCTGGACTTGGAAGATGGGGGGTGGGGGGGGACAAGGCAGCAGCCTCTGACCTCAAAAAGAATATACTTACCACACAACCCCCCCACATTACACCAGTGCATTCGGGTCAGGAATATGTTATCCAAACGAGCCACCTTCAACCTAAGAATGACAAAACATTTGAGCAGGGCCGAACAGGTCGACCAAGGACCCTCTCTTCTGCTTTAAAAACACTCCTGTCTCTCCCCATGGAGAAGCCCCCATGAGCATCTCCACCCCGAAAGAAAATGGTTGACTCACTTGTGCTCCTGCATGAGCCTCTGGACGCCTTCTCCACAGTTGAAGAGGTACCTACAGGACAAACATTAGGCAAGATACTCAGAAGATGTGACTCTGTAAAATTTCTGCTGCGGATTTAGATGCTTTATTGTACACAAAGAAAACAAAAAACACCAAAAAACAAAACAAAACAAACAACTCATGTTGGGCTACTGGGCTGCATTTCTGGCGTGAGGATGCTGCCGGTGAGCCCTCCCTGGGAGAGGCCAGCAGGGGACTGGGGGCCTAACAGGCTGGTGCTGGGGTCACGTGGGTCCTTTCCCCCATCACCTCCTCACCTGACCTGATACCCCACACGCCAACCATGAGGTCCCGGTCTTGGGGCGCACGGGAGGGAATGCGGCTCAAAGTGTGTCAAGTGGGGCCTCGGGACCCCAGGCTGGAAAGGGGATGCTCACACCCAAGTCTGGGGCTCCTCCGGGGCTCCCGGGAACTCCAGGGGCGTGTGATGTAAGGAATCGGGGATCCCCCACCACCCCCCGAGGGTCCAACGTCGGCTGCAGCAGCAGAATCCCACACGAGTGACACGTGGGGGACCCCGGCGCGCAGCACGCGGGCCGGGCGGGGCGCACTGACCGGTTATACTCGGAAAACACGTAGAGCGCCGCGCCCACATCCCGGCCGCCGGCCGCCACCACCTGCAGGTACACGGTGTTCGGGCCCCCGGGCTCCCACGCCGCGCCGCGCTTCTCCCGCGTGCGCAGGTGCCGCAGCAGGTCCTTGGGCGGCCGCTGGCGGCGGGCGGGTCCCTGCGACATGGCGCGCCCGGCCGCGGACCGCAACAACAGCACAGAACGGAGAGCCCACATGCACCAGCCTCCTTCCCAACGCGCCCGGTCACCGGGCTCCTCATGCCCCACGCCCCGCCCCTCCGCCCCGCGTGGCGGGCCCAGCCAATCAGCGCGCCGCGAGCCGAGCTGCCCGCCTACGCGAGGCCGTGCGTCCAATAGAGAGGAGCCCTGCCCCTCGCGACCTGTCAATTGGCGACGACCATAGAGTAGGCGCAGGCTAGAGGGCCCCAGACGACCTTGTCCCTTGCTTCCTTCCGGCTTTCCCTGGCGTCGATTCTTTCCGGAAACTCCCTTTCGCCCGGGGCGGGACTTCCGGGAGCGCAGAGCCGGAAGGAGCCGTCCTGGCACCGGAGATGACTTTGGGGATTTCGAGGTGCGTGAAGGGCGCTCGAGCCCTGTCTCCACCGATTGTCCTGTATCCCGCTGGGCGGGTCAGCCCATGGAGCTTTGATTTGTTCTTACTTGTGGTGGTTGTTAGGACGAAATGGGAGGAGGTGGGTTATAGAGAGAGTTAGCAGAGGAACGTTCACTAATTTTATTTCCGGCGTAATTCGCGGGAAGGCAGGCTTCAAATGATTGTTTTTACGGTCTTTGGGAAAGAAAGGCAAAAATAGGGGTTAAAAGAACAAACTCTGGAGCAAGAGAGCCTTGGTTCGTTTATTAATTGGGTGATCTTGACCTGTGAGCCTCAGTTTCCTTATCTGTAAAGTGGGGCGGGAGTAACAGTAACTATGCTTTAAGGTCTTTATAATTAAAGCACCTGATAACATCTTGAAAGCGCTTTCAGTGGCAGTGGTAGGAACGAGGCACTCAGTAAAGGGTAGCAAAAATGAAAGGGAAGTAACAGGCTTCAGGCCACGTAAAATACATTGAAACGACCTGCCGTGGCTGAAGAGATGCTGACGGGGGACATGGCTGGGTTGATGCCCCAGGACAAGCCCTTTGAAGAGGGGAAGGGGACTTACTGTCCCCTCATATAGCTGATGAGGATTTCTCCCTGAGCGAGATTTCAGTTAAAAAGTCTCTAGACACCCCTATGATCGGCCCTTGATAAACACAGCTGACCCAGGGCTCTGTCCACGCCAGTGTCTGTTCCTCCAGGCATAGATTTAGCCGGAAGGTAGGTCATGAAAGGTCAGGTCAAGTCAGTTCAGCTTCTCTAGTGGCCAATGTTAGTCATCTAGAACTTTGAGGTCACAGGTGCAGCACTGAAGAGAAATCAAAAACAAATACCATGTCAGCTTCTTTGTCGTCTAACCTTTACTGTGTGAATTTACAGAAAGCCAGGAACAGAAAGATTGAGAGAATGCTCGCTTTTCTCATAGTACTCATGAGGCTGTGTTAAAAATTATTCCTTTGCAGTCTGCTATTGTCACTAAAATTGTAGCACTTCTCAGACTGAACCCTGGTATGTGCAACTGTGGGTGGAACAGAATGGAATTGGCAAATGCTTGTTGAATTAATAAAGTACACTCATGGAAAAAAGAAAATAAAAATAAAAAGCCTCTAGAGATGCAAGGAGCACCCTGAATCAGGGAGTTGGGTTTACCTGGAAGCTCCACCCAAATATGAAACTGGCTCGTGGAAGGCTAGCGCACAACTGTGTGAAAATACAGGTTCTGGGGGCACCTGGGTGGCTCAATCGTTAAGCCTCTGCCTTCGGCTCAGGTCATGATCCCAGGATCCTGGGATCGAGCCCTGCATCGGGCTCCCTGCTTGGCAGGAAGCCTGCTTCTCCCTCTCCCACTCCCCCTGCTTGTGTTCCTTCTCTCGCTCACTCTGTCAAATAAATAAAATCTCAAAAAAAAAATACAGTTTATGTACTTGGAGTAACCTTGCTGGTGAGGGTCAGGAAAATAGCACTTCGGCTACTTTCGCCTGTGGAGGGCTTAAACAGAGAAAGGACTGTGGCACTGCCATCCCCACAAGTATTCAAAACAAAAACAACAGGGGTGTCTTAGTTGGTTGAGCGTTTGTCTTTGGCTCAAATCGTGATCCTGGGGTGTCTGGGCTGGAGCCTTGCATCCGGCTCCCTGCTCAGCCAGAAGCCTGCTTCTCCCTCTCCCTCTGCTGCCTCCCCCCCGCCCCGCTCATGCTCTGTGTCAAATAAATAAAATCCTTAAATAAAAGCAATACTTGATCCGCAAAATGAAAAGGCAACCTACAGAATGAGCGAAAAGATTTTCAAATTATGTGTCTGATACAGGGTTAATACACAAAATCCATAAGGAACTGCAACTCGATAGCAAAAAAAAAAAAATCAATTTAGAGATGAGCAAAGGAATCCGCATTTTTCTTCTGAGGAAAACCCACAAATGGCCAACAAGTGCGTGAAAAGGTGCTGAACATCACTAATCAGGAAAACGCAGATGGAAACCACAAGCTACCACCTCACACCTGTTAGAATGGTTTTATCAAAAAGATGAAACAAATGTTGGCGAGGATGTGGAGAAAAGGGAGCCTTGTGCATGGTTGGTGGGAGTGTAACCTGGTGCAGCCTCTAGGAAAAACGACAGGGAGGTTCCTTAAAACAAAATTTAAAAATAAAACCATAGGATCCAGCAATCCCCACTTCTGGGCATATATCCAAAGGACATGCATTCACTGTCTTGAAGAGATATATGCACCCCATGTTCACTGCAGCATTATTCACAGTAACCAGGACATGGAAAGAACCTGAGTGTCCATTGATGGGTGAATGGATAAACAAAATGTGAGATATGTATGTATATCCCTGTATAAATATATAGACTTGTAACTATAATTGTACAATATACGTGTTTGTATAAAAGGTTTATGCAATAGTATGTAACATGTATCAGTTATAATTATTGCATATATATAAGGCAATATTACCAAACAAGGGTTTGCGACATCTTGGATGGAACTTGAGGGCATTATGCTAAGTGCAATAAGTCAAAGAAAGACTGTGTTCTCATAGATGGAATTTAAAAAGAATTGAGAATTGTGCAAGACTGTTGAATCACAGATCTGTACTTCTGAAGAATGAAGGGGAGTAAGTTGGAGGGGGAGACGAACCATGAGAGACGATGGACTCTGAAAAACAAACTGAGGGTTCTAGAGGGGAGGGGAGTGGGGGGATGGGTTAGCCTGGTGATGGGTATTAAAGAGGGCACGTTCTGCGTGGAGCCCTGGGTGTTATGCACAAACAATGAATCATGGAACCCTACATCAAAAACTAATGATGTATGGTGATTAACAATAAAAATTTTAAAAATAAAAAATAAAAAGAATTGAACTCTGGGGCACCTGGGTGGCTCAGTCGTTAAGCCTCTGCCTTCGGCTCAGGTCATGATCTCAGGGTCCTGGGATGGAGCCCCACATCAGGCTCCCTGCTCCACGGGAGGCCTGCTTCTCCCTCTCCCACTCCCCCAAAAAAAGTTCCCTCTCGCTGTGTCTCTCTCTGTCAAATAAATAAAATCTTTAAAAAAATAAAAGTAAAAAGAATTGAACTCCTAGTGATGAGGGAGCAGAAGGCAAGCTGAGGACAAAGCAGAAGCTGACACTCTGCAACCTCCCCCCAACCCCCGGGTGGGACCTGTGTGACATTCTTCCAGGGATCTCCCAACTATCTTAATATTAATACCCTGCTAGACGGGAAACAACCTTAACTTGACAATGGCAAGGTCTCTGGTATCTTGTAGGTCGGTCCTCTTTAGCATATGAAAGTTCTTTTGAAACCTCCCCTTTCCTTACTTCCCCCAACTCCCAAGTATATAATCACCACTCCTCAAGCTCCCCGGAGAGCAGCTCTTTCTGCCCACGGGTCCTGTCCCCATGCTTTAATAAACCACCGGTTTTGCACCAAAGGCGTCTCCAGAATTCTTTGTCATCGGCTCCGGACCTCACCCCACCGAACCTCACCTATATTCCAAAACCACATCACTGGAAACAGAGAGGAGGTTGGTGGTTACTCTGGGGGTGGGGAGTGAAGGTGGTCAAAGGGTACAAAACTCCGTTATAAGTTCTGGGGATCTAGTGTGCAGCGTGGTGACTATAATTAACTATATGCTTGAAAGTTGCTACGAGAGTATACATCTTAAGAGTTCTGACCACCACACACACAGAAATAACTGAGGTGATGGATGTTATTTACATGATGCTAATCGTTTTGCAGTATAGAATTATATCATCTTGTGCAGCTTAAACTTTAACACAATATTATAGGTCTTTTTTTTCTCAATAAAGCTGGGGGAGTGGGGGACAAAATAAATTACTAAACTTTTTTTAAAGTTAGAAAGTGCAATAACATACTGATTTTTTCCCCTTGATGAATATTTTTTTTTTAAGATTTAGAGCGAGAGAGCATGCGAGTTGGGGGGAGGGGCAGGAGGAGAGGGAGAATCTTCCAGAGGACTCCCCGCTGAACACGGAGCCTGATACGGGGCTCGATCTCATGACCCTGAAATCATGACCTAAGCAGAAATCAAGAGTGGACGCTTAACCAACCACACCACCCAGGCGCCCCTTAATGAATACTTTAGATCCTTTTTAAAAACTATTAAATTCCACACACAAAAATAAATTGTGGTTCTATTTAACTGGTTCCCTAGGCTCCCGTCTGTCAGGTGATCCCAAACTGCTCAAAAAATAAAGGAAGAATCACTGTTGGTCATCTATTTGTATAAAATTCCAAGAGATGGGTGAAGAAGGTAGGGCAAGTTAGTGGTTATCAGGTTGGTTCCAGGGCATGGTATGCTTTTCTGCAATGATGCTCCGGGTCCTATTTTTATGCCTAAAATAAAAAGACAAAAGCCCGGACTTCCCTGATCTGAATTTATCCTGGAATGTAAATCCCATTGAGTACAGGGCTTTGTCAGTCTGGTTCTCTGCTTTATCATCAGCTCCTAGTGATAGGGCCTGGATTATGGAAGGCAAATAACACTAGGAAATTAGGAAGAACGCAGCAGCTTCAATGAATCTGTGCCCTTGTAATTGAACAGGGCCCCACATTCGATCCAGACAGCAACAAATGTGTTCTCAGATGGGATGGTCTG